CTGGAAACGACCGGGTATTGAACATGACCGACTCCGCCCATTCTCTAAAGGGTTTGGCAATCTAGGCTGACCACGCCCACTTGCTTTTCGCGGACTTTCGATATTTTTCAAAATTTTTTGCATTTTAGGGCTGCTGCGTGAAGCCCCGCCCACTGTGAGAGGCTCCGCCCACTTTGAAGAAGCCCCGCCCACTTAAAAAATGGTGGAAATCGGCAGTAAGAGACTTGGCTTGCATGCTAGGGTCTCGTTCGTCACTCGGAACAAGAAAATCCGGCAAAGTTTATTCCGAATGATCAGCAATACCCTAGCATGCAAGCCAAGGCTCTATACTGCCGATTTGCACCATTTTTGAAAAGTGGGCGGAGCCTCTCACAGTGGGCGGGGCTTCACGCAGCAGCCCTAAAATGCAAAAATTTTGAAAAAATATCGAAAGTCCGCGAAAAGCAAGTGGGCGTGGTCAGCCTAGATTGCCAAACCCTTTAGAGAATGGGCGGAGTCGGCCATGTGTCAATGCCCGGTCGTTTCCAGTCAAAGTGTTTGTGGGAAACAGCAAAAGCAGAAGTTATGAAACAAGATTTGAGAATCTATGTCCGCGCTGACAAGTGGGCGTGGCCGTCGGGGCGGGGCTCGCAGTGATGTCTGGCGTGATCTGCTTGATGAGTTGCCCTAATAAGTGTGGTTAATTTGATGTGAAAAGTGAGGGTGAATTTGGTTTGAAAAGGGGTGAATTTGGTTTGAAAAAGGGTGAATTTAAAGTGAAAATGGTATATCTATCACGGTAGGAGAACCAACCCCGAAAAGCTTTTTCGTGCAACGAGATCGGCATCATCACGGGCGCGTTGAACTTCCGTGGTTATTTCAGCAGCACATTTGGAGCATGGCACGAAACGATTCACTAGCAAGTCACCTTCCGAAGAGTGCGCGAATCGAGTGCCAATAGCTGGATACCTAAAGTAGACCAAAGTGGAAACCGTTGAGGGCAGATCTCGTAAAATAAAGCCAGAATGACGTACCAGTCCTCTAAAAGAGTATCAAGAAGATCGACCACTAGGGCAAGTAGTCTGG